GTGTTTTTTTGAAATTATTTTCCTCTTTATTTTAAAAAGTAAGAACAGTTGTACTAAGAAGTAGGCATCTGCGTTACCTTTTAAAAAACCGAATTTGAAAATTTTGAATTGTTTTTTTCCGAAAATTACGAAAACCGAATTTAAAGAAAAGATTTATTTACGAATTAACAGAATTTAAGCGGTTTATTTTGGGTAAATTCGACAACTACAAATACAGTGAAAAACAAGCACTTCGTTTTAATGTTATAATCATTGAAGGCAAAGACGAATTATTCTATAGAGCTCTTAGCATTTTTTTCTCTGAGGCGGAAGTTTTTTCTTCTTCTGTTTCTAGATTGACTTTGATTTGCTTCCCTGTTCTGGAAATGTTGGCTTGCAAGTAAACAAGCATGTTAACATTTTCTTGGTCAAGATTGTATCTTCTGTCAGTTACTATGTTGCCTGATGAAGAAAACATTCTTTCACTTGATGCTGAAGTTGCAGGAATGCAAAATGTTGTAATGTAAAGATTTTTAAATTTAAAAAAAAGAAGCCACATGAAACTCCCCCAAGAGTGGTTCAATTTTTATCAACACCTCAAATGAACGCGACAATGGAATCTTATCAGCCATCTTTGTTGCACTTTCGTCATCAAGGAAACTGAGCAAAACAACTTTAAGCCGGATCACAGATCGAATCATTGCAATATGTGAATTCCACCGAGTAGATGAAGGTGTTTGGGACTTGAAAAATCCAACTGAAAAAATTCAAAATGGACCTTATAAGAACTAAAATTGCTGCATTTAGTTATGACCATATTTGTCACTGACATACTTTTATCACTGCAAAAAAGTGGCTTAGGCATTTAAGTATTTCTACAATTTGCCAGATGCATTCTTGTCTTTTAGAGTTATTATTATGCCATTGGATTTAAATTTGTCATTACCTTAAAAAGATTCATAAATACCCTTCAATTTCTTGCAGCGATTTTGGATTGTTTGTGTCACTTGAATTGAATGGTGGACATGACTGAAGAGCCTATTGAATTCATCAAGAGCTTTGCCAACTCCCTCGCTATCATCTTTCTTAACAGAGTTTTGGAGAATCAAGTTGAACTGATGGTCAATGCACAGAAGACTTTTTGAAATCATTTCTGTTTTTGGGATTGCAGCTTTCATGTTGCTTGCTGCATCATGAACTGCACTAACCTCAGCTCCTCCTCAATGTTTTCACTCCTAGTAATGTTTTGAATCAAAGCATCCAGTTTTCGAGCAATTGAGCTTGCTGTGTGATAACCTGAGAAAAAATATTATAAATCCTAAAAAGGCATTTGAAAAATAAGCATCTAACATAAGTATATTACTCATTTATTCCTATGCTTGTATCTGTTAGCTTGTATGTGTCTATCTGGTTTTTCCAAAAAAAGTTGAATTGGAACTTTTATGTATTTTACAGGTTTAAAGATCGTTTTTGAAAATGTTTTGTGACAAAATAATGTTTGTCGATTCTAAGCAAAATTTTTAAAATGCAGCACTTTTCAAAAAAATTAAAAAATTACGTTTGCTTTCTGATTTATTTAATTATGAAGTGTAAGTGATATTGCTATTTAAAATTTCAAACAATGTTAAAAAGTATTTAAAGCTATGTTCGCATAGAAATTGATTTACCTGAGAATTGTTCACACAAAATGATTATTTTTTCAAGAATGAAATCTTCATTGATGCAATGTAATCTCAAGGACAAATATTCATCATTTGCTCATCAAGACCAGAGATCAGTTGTCACAGCTGCACCTGGACTGTTGGTGTGATCTTGCTTTACGTTGGAATCAACAATGGTCTTTACATGCGCATACAGGAAAGGCAGTTTGAATCTATCAAAAGATTGTTGCAAAATTAAATGCTTGTAAAAGAACTAGAAAAGTTACAAAGAAAAGCAATTTAGCATTACCCCTTGGAATAAAGTAAACACATATACATTTTTGGTAAAGGTAGATTTTGACACAAAAGGTTAAATTGAAGTTACAATATTTTGAGCATCACCTTACGACTAAGGCAATAAAAAGAACATGTATGAAAATTCACCTTGAAAACGTAGTGCTATGTTTGACAGTGACATTTGGGTTGAGAAAATCGATGTACTTTTTATAGCCAATGGTATCTACAACACTAAAAGGTTGTGCTGTAGAAATGATCTGCTCCATGGTTTTTAAATCAAACTCAAGTTGGCGAGCATCATGAGTAAAATATTTTGTCGCAATAAAGCTCTTTATGGACCTTGCCTCACTGAAAGTAAAAAACAAAAAATTATGTACATAGGTATGAGACATGCTAATAAACAAAATGTTAGTATAAATCAAAATACAATAAATTATAATATTTAATGTAAAAAATGTTACAAATATTTTTCCTTAATTCAATCTTTTATACTTATTTGAAAAATGAATTCAGACTGATTGATATTGTACTCACAAAATATTGCTTTGCTTGATGGCTTTTTTTGGCAAACGTGGTGTAAGAGGTAGAGATGGATCTTGCTGAATTTCATTGTTTCAAACAGCTTCATACTCGTCATCCTCTTCTTCAGCATTGGCAAGTCCAATAGTTTTAATTTCATGCTTTTTCTTCTTTGCCAGAGTTGCCTTGACCATCTTTGCAGTAATGTCAGGGTGAGATTTTTTCAAATGATTTTGCAAAGAAGATGTTGATGCTTTCACTTTATGAGAAACAAAATAGCTAGACATTTTCCATATGAATAACAATATTCAAAAATGGTAGTAATTATTAATACCTATTTTAGTTTTGAAGGGCAATGAAGACATTGCACTAAAGAAACATCTCCTCGTTTTTGAACCTGAGTCTGTGGCTGTCTTTTAAAGTACTTCCAAAGCTCAGTGTTTTGTTAGGTGCCTGGATGCTTTCCTCTTTTTTTTTAATGTTGATTTTGAAGAAGTAGATCGTTGTTCTCAGTCTTGGTTTTTATCTGTATCCATGTCTCTTCTGACAAAAATCTAATGAATCCAATTTTTTTCCACATTGCACGATATTTTTTTGCCCGTTTTTTAAATTCGTAAAACAAAATAGCTTTGTTTTGTTTCTGAAAGTTGTAGGGCTGTGGCAAATCAATTTTTTAAGAATGATAAATTCTCTTAATTTTTTTTTTACTTTTACCAAAAAACCGAAAATAACCGAATTAAGCTCTTCATTTATTATCTTGCCGATATTTAAATATTCATTTTATTCGAAGTTTAAATATTTCCAGAAATTATTATCGGAAAATTTGAATTCGGGTTAATTTGACTCTAATCGTAATGTTCGGGTCGGATCGCAGATGCCTACTAAAAAGGGATGAAGCATAACGAGTAAATTAAAATAAAGCTTTGTAAAAACGGTTTATTTCATAGCCACAAGTATTACTAAAAACATATTGTGATATAAAAACATTTAACTAGTTTGGCAGAAAAAGAAAATCAAAAATGCATGATTTTAAACCAAGATCGTGAAGGCTTAATTAAGTATATTTATTTATTTATTTTTACAAATTAAAATTTATTTGTATGTCATCATAAACTGAAATATTGATCTCACATAAAAACTATATTTACTTTAATATCAACATTTGTATCATTCAAACTGGTAATTGCTATTTTCATTTTATTACTTATTTTATGTCTATTAATGCTTTTAAAAGTATGTGTGACTCTGAAAATAAACATTTTTTAATCACCATTCAGATGTTATTGAACTCTATGTTGACAAGAGATTGAACCGCAGTATCAACGACAAAGCTTTTAGCAGTATATCTTTGTATTTAAAAGAAAACTTTGAGATGGTTTAAATAATGAAAGTATTTCATATGTATTGAGATATTTTTGCTGACAATGACATTTGATTCCCCAACATTAGATAAATTTGCTATGCCATGATCTTTTATTTTAGAGTAGTTTCGTTTTTAAGGTAATTTATTCCATTAAATCTTGACGGATTAAACAGTTGAACTACACTATCCTGTTTCTTGATGACAAAAAGAAGTTTTTTCTTGTTATTTCTTGGTAACAGTAAATCAGTTCTTTCTCCATAGCTCTCAAAAATTGCTGCCATAAACCTCATTACTTGCCATGGAACGTATAACTTATTTGATGAAACAAGACCTAGTGCAATCCCTATTCCTTTTAAATAGCCATCTAGCATTGGTCCAACCGAAACCAACTCTTCAATTACTGAGTCCATTTCACTTTCATTAAATAGTCTTTCGGAAATTTTATTTCATTTTCAACCACGATCGCTCAAATGATGAGAGTCTCAACTCACTCTTGATCCAGAATTTACGCCTAATTTTTTCCTTAAAAACTCTATATCATGGTATAAAAATCTTTATCATTAATAGGATAATGTTATAAACGAACTAAATGATAAAATTGTACAATTCAATCTACATGACTATCATATCGGGATCTTTTCTCATCATTTACCAAACCCGGAACCCCCCAAAAACTCGCAATAATAAAGGCAATTTCAGAAAACTCAAAAATTAGCGAAAATAGTCAAAAAAAGCCATATTATTATCATCTCATCACAGAAAAGTAATCAAATTGAAAAAAAGAAGAAGAAACTAAGACAGTTCAAGATATTTTGCATACATTAAATCTCATTGACAATATTAAAGTAATTACTTCAATCAGGAAAATAAAAGTAAAAACACAGTCGCAACCAACAGTTATAATTGAATTCGAAAACAACCATGCACGCAACCAAATATGTGCAGCTGCCAAACACCTTTGTAAAGGTATATATAATGTTATCCATATTTGACCTGAAAGAACCATAGCTGAACAAGCTGAGTTTGTGTGTCTGTTCAAAGTACGACAGGAAGCTAATGAAGATAAGCGCAAGAATGGTATTCTTGATCAGCCCTTTGAATTTGTCATCCGTAGTGACCGAGTCCACTGCGTTGTTGTCTCACAGACCCAATTATGTAATGAAAAAAGAAGCACCCATTTATTGATTTCAAAGCAATCGCTA